CAGGGGATCTCGTAGTCGAGCAGTCTCGACTAGAGCTTTCTTACTTGTTATATAAATGCGAGTTGTTGATTACTAAACAATTCTGTGAAATTGTAAACCACACTACATATACATGCATATATCGTATATACATGCATACATCTGTATACATATAGATATACAATGTATATGTGCGATATATGAATAATACAATGGCAAACAATGTGCTTGATGCAATCGCTAACTGCCCACTCATCTACAGATACTTCCCTTTAAATATGAATATATGTATTTACATATGCATATATATACATACATATATGTAAATATGTGTACATACATATGTATGTACGTATGTAGGTATTTCTATCTCGTAGGTTTGCAATCAAGAACTGACCCATGTATCCCGCCTGTTGTTTTCTTCCTCCAGCTCTCGCATTGACAAACCGCAAACCTAACAAAGTACATAGTACTTTGTGTCTCTCTCTGTGCGTGTGTGTGTGTTCATGCATGTGTATGTAACTGTGTATTCATATCTCAACTTCCAGTCAAGTTGTGCTTGCGTGCTTTGTTTTGGTCTTGTTTGTGCAAGCTGTGAGATTTGAAAAACTTTACGTAACAATTCAGCATGCGAATATTGAGAACAACAGGAGGTGGAAGAGAGGCACCGATAGAGAGGATCGAGAGGGAGAGAGTGAGTGTGTGAGGGCAAAGTCATCTTTACAGTCTTGCGATAATTGCGAAATAATGACGTCATACATGAGGGGAAGTAAAACTAGAAGGTACAAATATTTAAAATTATTGCAGCTAGTTTATATCGATAAAAAAAAAAAAACAATAAATAATGCGCTTACAGTAAAAACAGAATAATTCGTATGCCTTTAAACTTCTGTGAACCACTGTGCTATTGAATAAGTAAAGCCCCAATTTGGGTACATCCATTTATGCCTGGGACATTGAGTAAAAAGTACCCATACTTAGAAATACTTAGAAAGCAAATTTGCTTGAGATAATTCGCGCCAGTCTTAATTAACATCGAATTGTGATCAATAGCGCAGTTAACAAATTCTAGTGTACAAATTTTCAGCAAAACAAACATGCAAAATACCAAAGAAAGCTAAAAAACGCTAAACTCACACACACACTCACCAAAACAGATACAAAAGCATACACATACACTCAAACATAGGGCATATTAAAGCGCAAACACATGGCACGAGTGAAAAGGGAAAACCTAAATACTTGTGTACGATGGCGGCGTTGCTGCTGGCGTCAGCGTCGGCGTCGGCGTCGGCGTCGACGTCTTCTTCATTGCTGTGGTTGTTATTCAGCAGTGTGTCGAGGTGGTGGCGGTGGCGGGCTGTATGTGTTTCAAGTTCAAGGTTAAGATACTAGTTGTGCATGGAACCAGCGGGTGCGAGCGAATAGGCAATAGCTGCCACAGCTTTTGCTTGTGTGTGTGAGTGTGGAAATGTGTGATAAACCAGTTTGGCACGTTTCGCTGCGCAAGCGAGAGACGACGAGACAGCAGGTCTGAGCGAGAGGGCGCACGCCAAAGAGACACAGCGAGAGCGTCAAACAAAGAGGAAGAGGAAGCCAACGAAAAGCACAACCAAAAAGCAATTCGCCACAAACACAAAAATTAACGAAAGATAGCGAAAAAAAAAAACAGAGCAACAAATTTAAAATCAACGATACGCACGCTTGAATAACTACAGTTGTGCAGTTTCGTTTGTCTATCCGCGTGTGCTTTCGTTGACTCTCTATTATTTCTCTCTCTCTCTCTTTCTCTCTCCCACTCTCACATTGCTCAAAATAGTTATTAGCTTTAAATTTGCCAACCGCTTTGCTTTTGACTTATTTTTAACACTCATTCGCAATTCTATGTGCTTTATAGCACTTCCACTTCCATTTCCATTTGATTATCTATCTGACTCGCTCTCTCTTCAATTGAAATGCTGTTGTAGATTGTCTTTGCCGCCTTCACAATTGCAATCGCAATCGAAATCGCCTGCTTTCGCCGCGGCCCCTGCCCCTACGTACCATACACTGTTATGACAATAACAGAAATGAAAAAAAAAGAACTGTTAGCTCTTCATTTAATTAAACGCCTGGCGCCAAGTCGGCTTAATGGATTTTTAGCTTACGAAATTTGACACAAAAACAAAAGTAAAATCAATTTTATGCCCATTTCCTCCGCATTACAAAAAAAAGTGCACTGCTCAAAATTACCAAGGTTAATTTAATTTAATAAAAAAAAAATTGAATTTTATTTTTGAAATGCCAAGCATTTGAACTAAATTTGCATAGTTTCCAAGTTCGTTGCACCGCAGTAATTTTAATATTCACAAAGACCTTGGCCTGGCACTATAAAGTGCAATCCAAAAATGAAATATAGTCGAAATTTCTTATTTCCATAAATACATACATACATATGTATATACATATCAACCATTAATTGAATAGATTGCTATAAAATAAAAATGTTAATAATTACTAGGAATGCATTTTTATATGTATGTAATTAAAAAAATAATAATAAGGAAAGAATAATAATATATAAAAGAAATAATAATTAAATTGTATATTTGTATCTTTTTTAAGATGTGCAATGAAAATAAACATAAAATTCCAGCTACATATATTCGGCATATAAATTCAACCCTATAGTTTAAGATAGTTAATCATAAAAACTAAAATGAATACTGCAAGTTTTTACAATTCACGACAAGACAACTAAATTTACATGGGCAAATTTTGAAGAAAACTACAATTTAAGAAAATTTCATTCATAATTTATTAATATATTTGACTACACAGATAATATCATTTATCTATGTTTGTATATGTACATATGTATGTACATATACAATTTTGATTTCTATAGAATTTTAGATTTAGATTTCACTGTGAACAAGAATGTGCAATCCGTTGAGAGTGACCTTCATTTTGTATACTCTAATACATTCACATACCCTACAAACATATGTATATACATAAATGTATGTATGTACTCACACCTATACCTATATACCCTATATTCATATATTTGAATTACCATAGACGGTTGCCAAGTGTGAAATTTGCACGTGTGCCGCCACATAAATAAAATGCAAATATTTTTGGGTCTTCAAACGAAATAAACAAATTTTCAAATTTGACACAAACTGAATGCTGAATGCTCTAACAAATGTAGATGCACACATGCATACATATAGATGAGAGAGTGAATAAATCATACACATGTATGTACATATGTATGTATGTAAATGTGTAACATTTGTCATCGATAAATTGTGTTGTGACAAGTGCATATACTAAAGCAAAGTGCATTCTATAAGAGTATGTTGAAGAGTATGCAACTGATAGGCAAATTCAGATGCTCAATCACTCACATCCACTCCCATCACCAAATTTTTGATTATTGATTTTTTATTCTTTTGCCTACCTCCTGCAATTTTCGTTAAGTTAATATTTACCTATGGAATTTCAAACAAAATCTCATTTTGTATATTTATTTTTAGTGTGCCAGCGTCAGCATGGAAATTTAATTAGCGACAGCCGAGTGAACCAGCTACAAACACACACACACACACACACACACACACTACATAGAGAGACGCCTACACATAATGGAGGACAAAAAGGGCCTGCGAAGTAAAAGTAAACACAAATAATACCAAAAAAAAGAGGGAAAAAATTAAGAAAAATAAATCATGCGAGCAGAAGAAGAAGAGCTACAAAATGTGTTCAGCTTTCGCATGACGCCAGCAAACAGCAGCGACTGCGACAGCGACCGAGGCAGAGCCAGCAAATGGTAAACAGCAACAGCAGCAGCAATAAAGGAACAATGAAAATGCAGCAGCAGAGAGTCATCGCCTAGCCTCCCTAGCCCACTGTTGCTGCTGCAACTGACGTTGGCGCGCTGTGTGTGCGAGCGAGCGGACAAACAAAAATGGCGCATGACATGCGCACTAGGCAAGCGGCTAACTTGAACTTGAAAATGTTTTTATTGTTGCGCTTGTCGTCATCGAAGGCTGTGTGTGTGTGTTCCATTTAATGTGACGCGACTGCGACGCCAGCAGAGTACAGAGAGCAGAGCTAAGCCGGCAAACTAACAGAAAAAGAGTGGAAAGCAACGAAGAGAGACTGGGATAGAGCGACAACGAGCGAGAGAGCCAGAGAGTAAGAGAGCGACGGCGAGGGCGTAAGCAAGAGTGAGCACGCTGCTAGGCTAAGCTTGCTAGCAGCAGGTATGTATTTATGTATGGATGTGTGTGTGTGTATGTATGAATATATGTGTGCACCATGTGAGAGGTAAATATGTCAATGTAAAAAGAAAAACAAAAACAAACGAGCAAGTGAGAGAATGCGAAAGCTTTTTTTATAGCTTTTGCGTGGGTGACTTAAAGCAGCGCAGTTGCGTCGCTGCCGACGTCTGCCAACTGTTTGCTTTTGTTGTATGCCCCACAGCCAGCTGCCCGAGACTTTCTCTTTCGCTGCGTCCATGTGTGTGCATGTGTATATGCGTGTGTGGGCGTGTGAGTGAATAATGCTGTTGCATATTTACTGGGATACAATGACGCGCACCTGTGCGAGCACAGCTGCAGCCAACAGGATGCTGTTGCGGCTGCGGTGCCTAGTTGCCAGCCCGTCGCACAGTTGTTCAGTTCTTCAGTTGTTCAGTGTCGAACGCACTCCCGTCGAGGTCAGGCAGCTACGAAACGAAGCACCGTTGCCATACAAGCATACATAGATATATATAAATAACTATTTATATAGATATATTAGTATGTCTGTGTGGACTTGCTATATGAGTGCGTTAATTGTGTGACGCGTTGCTGGAAGGAAAAGAAGCAGACAAAAAAAAAAAAAAAAATTGTAAAACAAAAATAACATATTCAGGTGGGGAAAAATTGATTAGCAGCTAAAAATACAAATGTGTGTGTGCGTGTGTCAGCGTGTTTGTGTGGGTGTGAAGTTTTCTGTACTGTGTCATGTGCTTTTCCTTCATAATTTTTAATGTTTTCCTAGCATATGGACAGCAAATTTTGAATAATGTATGCAGTGCACACACACAGACACACACACAAAAGTAGAGAGGGAGACACACACACACGCACACTGAGTCTTAGCTCATGCTGCGCCTTGGCATATGCAACGCATTTTTGTCTTGTTTTTATTACGCTTTGACCTTTTCACATGCACACGCACACACACACACATATTAAAGCACACACACGCCCTTAGCACAAGATGCGATGCGTAAGCAAAAGCAGCTTTTCTATTATTTACTTATGTTCAACATACATACACAGTTAACCACATATATATGAATGCATACATTGATATTTTGTGTATGTATGTAATTCATGTGTGTTTGCTTAATAATCGATGCGTCTCAGGAGGGGCAGCTGGCAAAAAAAAAAATCTTTAAAGGCAAAACAATAAAAGGAATTATGTTTATATGTTGAAATACTACTGTATTTAAACCGGATGGACACCTGAGGCGCATTTGTGCTTTAATGTGATGTGGCTAGAATAAAATAATATGAGAAATCAAGTTACAAAAAAATAATTATATACAAAAAATGAATATAATTTTTATTTAGATAAAAAATTATTTATTTACAAAAGAATTTTATACATTTTTTATCAAAATAAAAAAAAAAATTCTTTCAAAAATTTACAAAACATCTAGGAGTAAAACAAGAGTGTAAAATAGTAAATAGAATAGATAAAATTTAGAAGATGTTCATCTAGAGGAAGATATTGAGATTAATGTATTAGTGCATTATAAATTAACTTATTTTAAAACTATCAAATTCTGTTCAAAATTAAATTCAAGGTCCAATCATAAAAACATATACAATTATTTGAATTGATTTAGTGTAAAGTGAATAGTGAAATTCAAATTGGTGTGAAACAGTGGGTGAAAAATGCAGTGCAAAATAAGTGAAAAAGTATGTAGTATAAATAACAATAACAAAAACTACAACTACAACTATAACAACAACAAAGCAGTGACTGCAACTGAATTGAACAATGGCATCTGGTTTGTGTCTTCACTAAGCTTTTTCAGTTGAAAAGCTTTCTCTGTGCAATTGCCGCTGGGATACACCCTGTGCTCGCTTTGAATATGGTGCAAGTGAACACAGCTGGTGGTATCCAGAGGCCGTTGACAGCCAATGCAACAGCAGCAGCAACAACAACAACGACGACGGCAACGCCAGAAGCAACAACAACAACAGACACAGGGTGAGTAACGCTTCTAGTTGATCGAAGGTCTTGGATTTTCTTTGCAAGTCTCCAAAGTTTTATCATTGTTTTTGGTTTAAAGTGATTTATTTCCTAATTATCTTTTAATTTAACTTTGTTTCCAATTCATTTGACCATACTAAATATTTCTTAGCCATAAGCTTTCTTTAATGAATTTTCATTTGTCTACCCCACGGAAAAAAACCAAATGAAGAACGAAAAATTATGTAAAGAAAATTCAATCGAATGTTGCCCAAATTCAAACATTGCGAAAATTTGTGCAAAATAATTTTAAGAAATTGATTAAGAAATAATTGAATTAAAACAAAAATTGCATATTATATTATATTATTCAGCATTTACTTCTTGTTCGTACACATCTTGATCTTCGACAAACAAATTTTAATTTTCAGTTCTCAATTTCTCGATTGTAGCAAACCAAAACGAAACATCAAATGCGCATTTCTTTTCACTATTTCGCACTCATCAAGCCTCTCAGCTGGGGGCGTGGCACAGAGAAGTGCGCTTGAATGCGCCGAAAGCAAAAGAAACGCTCTGAAAAATTTTCGATTAAAATGTAATTATGCCAGTCAAAGAGTTTTCAGTATTAATGCGAGTGAAATTGTGATACCCTGTATCAATTATGAATGACAGAATGGTGGGGTATAATGGACTAACAGGTGATGATTGGAATACGGTGGGAAATCTAGTAGGCAAATCGATAAATATAAGTGAGAAGTTACAGCTGTCTTTATAAACATGCCCAATGTAAATTATTAATTATATATTAATAAGTGAATGAATGAATAACTTATTCATTTAAGGCAAATCGATAGAAGTTAGGCTTGGGATTTCAATGCCATTTATTGTAAATATTAAATAACTTTATATAAGGCAAAACGATAAATATCTGAGATTCGAAAAACTAAAAGTAACAATAGGGAAAATAGATACACCCAAGACAATTAATCATAACTACTGAAGTAGTCCAATAATAGTAAATCTGATACATCGATTACTATCGATATATATTTTGCTTTTTGCTATAACTTGAGAATTAAAAGAGTTATATGAATCTAATTTTATAGGTAGACCTTGAAATATAAATGTCAGTATGACAACAATTTTTTCGTCGATATCAGGCTGAAGGGGTATACACAACAGGTTACATACCCTTCACCTCACAATTTTATTTAATTGATATACAATTGAGTGCCTAGATAAATTCAGCTAAAGGGCATCTATTGCCTGATCAAACTGTTGCTCGGCAATGCTTAACTTATTCCTTGAAGTTGGCCAAAACAATTAAAAGAGATTTTTGTTCATGCTGCAATTCGAATTGCTTTAAAAGAAAATCTCGCGTGCAATGCAAAAATTTTCTATTTTCGTTTCGCTTTGGCTGCTGTTTGCTGTTTGTGCCGCTTTTCGACTTTTTGGCTCATTGACAGCACGGTCAAAGAGAGGGCCAAGACACAGAGTGGGAGAAGAGGGACTTTAAGGGGCGCAGCGGTGCCTCAGAGGTGGTGTTGCTGCAAAGTGTGGCAAAATCGTTTGACATTATTTCGACATTTATTCGCATTTAGCTGCATTTTTGTCACTTTTGCATTTCAAATGACCCTCAATTATCCTTTGTTGACTGACTTTGTAGATTGCCGTCGCTCTGCCGCTGACCCAGAGGTCAAGGAAAGTGAAATTGATTTTAGCTGCATATGTTACCCCTTAGCAAATACATACATATATTTCGAGCATTTCGTTTGGCTTATGTAAGCAGAAAAAAGACTCACAATGCATCACCTGATTGCATTTGCTATGTATGTATATATATCTATTTTATATAATTGATATATCTCTTATGCGCTGCTAATTCATCAAAGTTCGAGCCATTAAGTGAGCTCATCGGGGGCTATGATTTTTTTAAGTGATGAAATCAACTGCGACTTGATATATTGCAATGTTTTGTTTATATAAAAGAGGGAAAAAATGTGGAATATCTAAGTGTGCTTATAGATATACATGGTTATATATTTATAGTGCATTTAGTATATAGTGTATATAGCATGTAGTTGAAATTGTTTTGAAACCAGGTTGCAATTTATTTAGAAAATCAAGCTTACGAAATAGTCTTTAAAAATGTCTCATAATTGAGCGTTGACTTAATCGATTCCTCTCTGTATGTCATTCGTAAACTTTTTGCTAGTCAAGTTATAAGAATGTGGGAAAATGAATGAATTTAGAGAAATACTTCATAATTTCTCCGTTTCCTTTTCTGGTAACAAATAGACTCTCATTCATGTATGATTTTAAAGCACAAATAACGTTGCTCTCTACTCAAAGGCTGATAAGTCTTATATGGCTTAGCTAGAATTCTATCGAAATTCTAGGCAGTGGATAAGATAGGTATTATAAACAATAGATAATCTATATAAAGTTCAAAGATTATATATTTATTTTTTTAATTGAGAGCCACACAGTATATACGAAATGTTGTTTTATTTTATACTAAGTAGAGATCTGTTTTATATATTTAATACATGTATGTGTATGTACGTATATCTGTCTATATATTTTGTTAAAAGTAACTCTAAATAATTACACGAAATGGTTTTAGTCATGCACGACGAGATTTACTGCGATTGTAGCAGCAAGCCCCAGAGCATATATAGTATATACTGTGGTATAATGTATGTAGAAATATATAACGCTTAATTTTCAATTTAAGTTGACCTTAGAACAAAATTTGATCGATAATTTCGCATAATTGCGGAATGTGCGCGTGCACAGGGTGATTCGTTTAACAAGTGTGACACATGGTAAGCCGTCTTCACGCATACACACACACACACATACACACTGGTAAATCACCTTGAACATTAACGCCCAATGCAAAATGCAACTGACATGAGACATTTTTGGTGTGTGAGCGAGATAACAGTATGCATACCTATCTACTATGTAGAGGGCGTAAAGACAGCGACGTCGGCGTCAATTCAAACGT